GGCCTTGGATTTGTCAGGACCCAGAGATTTGGCAATCTCATGGGCAGGTATGTATCTGAAGTTTTTGCCAGTCCCAAATGCCAACCACAGCTCCTCAGTGCCCAGCTCTGACACATGTACATTGGCTAGGACCACAACATCTGTGTCCACAGTGCGCAGGGTGATCTTTTTAAATCCTTTTCTTGCAGCATCCGCTGCATGGAGTAACATCCTTGTATCTGCTTCTTCATGCGTGCAAGGGGCAATCTGATCTGATTCTTGTGGGTGAGATGATAGAACAAATGGAAACAACTTGTTTAGTAGTCGACATTTTGACAAGGTTCCTGGCCAGAAAGTGAAAAGGCTCTGTCTTGTTTTCATCTACTCTCAGGAAGCCTTACCAGTTGGTTGGTAACTTGTTTTTTCCATCAACTCTTGTTCTTGTCCCCTTTCCCCGCTTCTGTCTTATCTGGGACTTTAAGCTGTTGACTTCATAGCAGTCCCATACAACATCCACTCTGTTGGCCCTTTCAAGTTTCTCTTTGATATATGGTATGAAGATCTTGCTGGAAAATTCATTGAAGGTTTTAGCTACGCCTGGTTTTAGCATGTTGATGATTGCTGACCCATCTAGTATTTGGACCTCACTGTCTGGGGCATTGTTTCGTGAGGCACTGTCTGGGGCACTGCTTATACTGTTTTCTAGGCAACTTAACAGATCAGCCTTTAAGCAATTAGGCAACTTAACAGATTTAGCCTCTATTGCAACCTTATCACTTGCACTCATTTTTGCTAGTAGTCGCTCATCTTGCAATTCCCAAGCACATTTTCTGACATGATCATCAATTCGGAAGGTACTTGCTTCATGAAGTGGCTCAGCAGATGTCAGATCTTCACAAAAAAGGCACATATTCTCTTCTTTTTTATATTTATCGCTTGACTGAGTGTACTTTTTCATGACAACTGGGTCATCTTGAGGTGCTGATCTCTTCTCTGCTCTCTTTAGCTTGGTGTTGTTGAATTTCAGACAGCAGGATTTATGCCACTTTGCTTGATGCAACTGAATGGATGCCATACCAGGTCCTTCATCCAGCCTCTCTATATCTAAAGGGATAGGCAATTGCTTCAGGTCATGAAATCTTGTGATGTTTCTAGTCAGAGACAAGTATCCAGCCACATTATCTGTTCTCATTGAATCTGCAGGGCACTGTAGGTTCTCTGATGTTATTTGCTGACATAGGATACATTTTGACCAGTCAGTAGGATGAATGTCCTTAAACTGACCAGTGTCATTTTGGAGATTTTGGCAGTTCTTGTCTTCCATGTTTTTGCCCTTGATGACAAAAATACACATTACATTCAATACATTTACTGATTCTAGTGAATAGAAATTCTGTAAAGTATTTAATGGATTGATTGTATCACCTATAAGTGTGCATTATGCAGTACTCTGTGCCAACTTTTGTTTTGTTTTAAGCAAAGCTAGCATCTACAACAGTCCATATTATGACTATTCCTTTTCTATTTCTTTTATAATTGATTAATATTTTTATTCAGTACTTCAATAAAAGATTGTTTTCAAGAATAAAATATGTTTCAGTGATGTTTTTTTAATAATCTCAAGAAAGTGTATTTACACTTACCTCTTAGGGTTAGGGTTAGGGTTAAAGTCAGGCAAAGTGTGGTGCTGTTACCAAGGTGACGGTAGAGTGACAGTTCATCAAGAGGGAAGGCTGCACTGAAAAGTATCAACCTTCTGGACACTAACATCTCTAGCCCCAGAGAGTGATTATAAATTAAGTTTACATGAAATATACTTCGAAATGTTTTAAAATTTATTATAGAAATTTAATTCTGCATCTTCTCAAATACTGCGACTTTATTGTAATCATTCTCACATAACTGAATTCACCAATAACTACTCATCTGAACAGTTTATGTTGCTGTATATGGTATCATTGTAATCCGTGACCATCAAAACATAGGGGTAGACATCACATTTTCCATGTTAGCATGTTCGGTTCAGTAGTTATAATACAAAACACATAATTTGGTTATGGCGGAAAGTAAAATGGCTGCCATGGCAACCACGAGGCATTTTTGCGATGGCTCCATTTTTGAAAATGTTCAGGGCCCCAAACTGTACAATTGTACAGAGTTTCATGCTTTTATGAAAAAGTGAACATTATTTTCACATATCACCTGGACTACTACATTTGAAAGATAAATATGGTACTTTTCACTCCACTACATTTCTATCAAGGTCCTCGAAGCAGGAAGTCGTTACTGTAGCAGCTTTGAAAGTCAGTGGGGGATTTTTCTTCTTCTCTAAAACGTGACTTTTTTTAGACAGTCTATCAGTAAGTAGATCACTAATCTAATCACTCTTCTAGGGCTACGTGAAGTGATTTCCCAACACTGACCAGTTGCAAATGTGATATTTATTTACAACAATTCAATAATAATAAGTTAATATTGTGGTATATTAGACACAATATTGTCTTATTTTGCTAAATTGTGTAAATGAAAATATTACCTATAAAGAAAGCCACAGAAGAACTGCATCTCCTAACAAAACACAATAGGTGTTTGACGAAGCAGCACCGCACAGACGTTCTGTATACGACATTAAATTACTGCAAGAGTGATTTAAAGAGAGCATTTTTTAAATGTCTTTTTTTATTTCAAATCTGTTGCCGTTTTGCTTTTTTGTTAAAGCAGTGTTGCTGTTGTAAAGTTATAAAGCTACAGTTGTGTTGCTGGGTTTTAAAACAGGTTTAATTTTGTAATTAATTAATTCTGTATTTACAGCGATCTCACTGTCCACTCGGTTCTAATGTGGATGAATGGTGCACGTAGATGCGCGCACACACTGCCAGAGCTGTGAGAGATTGTGGGAGTGGGTAGGGGTGTTAAATCATTTTTGTATAGGTTTTTAAAATTCTAAAATCTCTTTAATTCAAAGATACTACAAGCTAGTCAGTGTATTCAGTAGGCGTAATGTATTGTAAGTTGCTTCAGAGAAGGTAATGCAAGCATTGCATACAGCAATAATAAAACATTTACATTATTGACATAAAAAGGAAATGTACTTTTAAAAGCAAGTACTTCTGTACTTTTGCCTAAGTAAAAATCTGTCTTTACAACTTTCACTTGTAATGGAGCAGTATCTGTAATGGAGTTGTGTACTTTATCCACACAACTATTCTCTGAATCACTCCCCTGCTCTAGCAGGTTTACTAATCAAGCCGCCTATAAACCTGATATTGTATATTATGAATATAGTTGGCTCTAAATTGTTAAAGTTTCTCTACTGTAAGTCGCTTTTAAGCTAAATGCATAAATGTAAACAGTGTCATGGTTTCTCAGCAGTTGGCACATCTATGATCTCTAGAAAGAAATCATTCTTTTTGAGGGTTCTCATAAAATAACTTACTACATTATGCAACAGTGTTATTACCTGATACGGTTTTACTGTAGATTCTAATGAATATTTATAACATTTATCTTACAAGATTACGCAGTCATAGCATTACGCGTTGTTACACGATAAGTTATTTTAATTTAATAATGTAATAAATGTATGAGCCTAAACATTATTACACTGTCACAATGTGAAATTGTTTGAGAAAATTAGTACATTATGAACACTACATAGGACTTATTACATTATGAGATGCTACAACACCACCGTTGCTCAGCCAATCCGATTCCAGGACTAGAACTGCTGTATAAAACTTTAAAGATAAAGAACAACTTTTCAATACATATATGACCCTGGAGCACAAAAGCAGTCTTAAGTTGCTGGCAGAGCATGTGAGCGGAGCGGAGGGTGAGCGGAGCGGGGAGCGGAAGAATTAATTTTTTCGTTTAGTCTAAATTATGGCCACGAATTAAGTATTCGTTCTCTTGTTTAGACTTAGCTGGCACGAATTCATTCGTTCGTTAATTCGGTCATTCCCTAGTTTTAGTAGGCCTAAATCGTGGAACGAATTATTATATTTCGTAATTACTTATTAAAATCATTATTGCTTAAAATTAATAAATAATAATAAATTAATTTAAAAAATAATAAAACCTGCTGACGTCGTAGAAACGAATTGTTAATTCAAATTATATTCGGAGCTCTGTAGTTATTAAATAATCTCAGTTAAACTGTAGACCTAAGCTAACACACAGCTGTATATAGGCCTGAATACAGAACTACAGAGTACAGAAGATATTAGCCTACACCACTTAGGCCTATTAAAATATTATTTAAAAAAAAACTGACCCGAACCAATAGGTAGTCCTACAGAATGTAGGCTAGATATAGGCAGCAGTAATTTATAATCTAATATAATGCACGCAAATTTGTTCTTTACAGAACGGAGCGGGATCTGAGCGGGAATTGGTTTACGGCGAGCGTGAGAGGAATATTAACGGAGCGCTTGCTTGGGCGGTTAGAGCGACTGAGTGGAGCGCACGTCCATAGAGCGGAAAACGTAGCGGAGCGTCACACCGCTCCGCTTCGCTCACATGCTCTGGTTGCTGGGGTATATTTGTAGCAATAGCCAACAATACATTGTATGGGTCAAAATTATTGATTTTTCTTTTATGCCAAAAATCGTTAGGATATTAAGTAAAGATCATGTTCCATGAAGATACTTTGCAAATGTCCTACTGTAAATATATCAAAAATTAATTTTTGATTAGTAATATGCATTGCTAAGAACTTAATTTGGACAACTTTAAAGATGATTTTCTCAATATTTAGATTTTTTTGCACCCTCAGATTCCAGATTTTCAAAGTTGTATCTCGGCCAAATATTGTCCTATCCTAACAAACCATACATCAATGGAAAGCTTATTTATTCATGATGTTTAAATCTCAATTTAAAAAAATTGACCCTTATGACTGGTTTTGTGGTCCAGAGTCACATATTACTATTGTAAGAAATAATTTACATCAACTGTTACAGTGCATGTTTTTTTTCCTGGTTAGAGTGGAGAAAATTGAAAAGGATACAAAAAATGCTTAATTTTTGATGAAAAACTGCCACTGTTTATTCATAAACATCTACTATGGTTATTATTATCATCCTTGCAAGATGATTGTTCAACCTTTACATTGTTTATATCATTACACTGCCAGATTGATATCCCCAAACATATGAAGGAAACAGATCAGATCCATGAAGGCATGGCTCGTGTCATCTGGGATCACCAGACAAAGGCGGCCCGCTCACGGAGCATCCGCACACCGAAGCGCTGCCACTCTCGCTGGTGAATCCAGAGCTCCTGAGTGGTGTCCAAACACGCCAGCACTGCTCCACCCTTCCACGCTATCACACGAGGATCCATGTCCTGTGCGGGAATATTCTGTTAACTATCACAATGCAGCAAGCCACACTACACTAGTCAGTGACTCCTGAGTAACTCTTATTCATACTTAAACTTGCATGTAAAATTCACACTAGAGGCTTATTAACCACTAGCCAGTAGGTCACAGCAGGTACAGTAAGAAATGTAATGTAGTTCTTCAGTTTGTCACTGATCAGATTTGTAATTTTCAGTTCCTCCTCCAACATATAAACAGAAAAAGTTTCAATTTCTTGCACAGACGACCGTTTCACTTCCTAAGTTCTCGATATATGGTCAGGAGTCATGGCTTTTAATTTTGTGTTTTTGCTAAATATGCCCTTTTTTTTGGTCTCAAAAATAGGCAGCCACTGATTTGCATTTTATGAATCACCAAGGACCACAGTTTCAGCTCAAAACCTTCATTAGTTCTACTGAAGAAAAAAAAAAGTCACCCACATATTAGATGGCCTGAGAATGAGTGAATTAATGGCAAATGTTCATTTTTGGGTGAATTATCCCTTCAAATATGCATGCATATTTATTCTCAGTAAAAATGGTTTTGGAACAAATACGATTAGCAAAGTTTTAATTAAATGACATCTGTAAAGAACACAAAATCAGCTTAACTAAGACAAACACGGAATACATTTGAGAAGAAAAGATCATTGCAATGTGTCTCTTCCTCACAGTGCTTTCTATGACCATGAAAGCACTTCAGTCACTATTTACAAAGACACTTTTCTGCTTTTATTTAAAGCAAAGTCATCAAAAGCTTCTTTTAAATTCTGCTCTCACACACATATCGGTTTTCCTACATACCTTTGGTCGTGTGATGACATCGACGTTCTCCACCAGACGACGGAAAGATGGAGGCATCTTATGGAGGACGCGATGCTGCAGAAACTCTTGTGCTCCGAGAAACAGCAGCCCGCCACCAACTACCAGAATACAGCTGTACATCTTACGCTTCGTTTCATCTGAGGCTGTGGAAATAGACCCATAAACACATGCTGTAAGGCTTCAGTACCATAGTATAAAAATATAATAAGGTAAGAAATGTTTGAAATCAAATTTGTGACCCTGCAGCACAAAAGCAGTCATAAGTAGCACAGGTATATTTGTAGCAATAGCCAACAATACATTGTATGGGTCAAAATTATCCATTTTTCCTTTATGCCAAAAATCATTAGGATATTAAGTAAAGATCATTTTCCATAAAGATATTTTGTAAATTTCCTACCGTAAATATATCAATTAATAAATTTTTGATTAGTAATATGCATTGCTAAGAACTTCATTTGAACAACTTTAAAGATGATTTTCTCAATATTTAGATTTTTTTGCACCCTCAGATTCCAGATTTTCAAATAGTTGTATCTCGGCCAAATATTGTCCTATCCTAACAAACCATACATCAATGGAAAGCTTATTTATTCAGCTTCCGAAAATCTCATGTCATGTTTCAAACCAAAAGTATTTCTGTGGCAACGGGTTCAGACAGAATCATTTCCCTTTGCTGCACCTTGTAAATATGCAGAATATTTTGCTTTGTAGAAAGCAAACAGAAAAACCCAGATTCACATTTCATCAGCTTGCTTTTGGGACCTTGTGCTAGATTCTTCAGTTCTGCTTCACTGTCCTGCCGATTTTCGCTACAACTCTGATCAAACTCACCTGTCTGTAATTCTCTGAAGAGCTTTATTAAGCTGAAGCTAAACTCTTCAGTGACTGTAATCTATCATCTTCTTCAACACGTTTCCTTCCCTGTACAAATTCACTTTAATCATTGAAAAACACAGAAACCACCTGTTTTCTATACTGTTTCTTGCTCCGCTTCAACTTGTTCTCTTATGTTTCATATCTGAACATTTATATAGGAATTTATAAGAGAAAAACACTTTTACAAGAATTATTACACCACTCAGTCCATAGTATGACCCAAGTTAGAGATGGCTGAAATTATATTACGTAATATATTTTGAATAGCACGGCAAACTTTAAGCTTTAATTAGGGGGTCAGATTTGCCCCCAGGTTTTTGGGAGATTCAGCCATGTGTTGGTAAAGTCAGTATTTACCGCAGGAGTCAATGCTGTGTAAGATGGCTTTATCCACGCCGAGTGCTTTTCCCTCAAACTGAGTCATGGCCGTCTTCCTGGACAACAGAGCTGACGATGTTTCTTCTGCATCCGCCCCACCAACGAGGCACTCGGCTTGAGCGTGACCCAAATCCAAATCCTGAGTCAGATTTCCCTTCTCCGATGGGTCGCACATGTTGGATTCCCCCTCAAACCCAGCAGGCTTAGGGAATAATTTGCGGTCTGTTGTGGCTTTAGAAGACTGTGTGAGAGAGAAACACAGTGAGATTACACTCCTCCATTTCTCACCTGTTCAGTTTGAACAGGCTAAAAGAAGAGAAACATTATAGTGTTTAAAGGAATAGTTCACACGGAAATGAAAATTAGCTAAAAATGCACTCATCCTCAGGCTGTCCAAGATGTACCTGAGTTTGTTTCTTCATCAGATTTGGAGAAATGTAGCATTGCATCACTTGAGTCCAAACAGCTGATAAAAACATCACAATAATCCACA